CTAATGCTCACCATGTCTTCTGAGCAACAAACTGCCTTTCTTGACAAAAAGAACCTTCTTTTTCCTCCACCTGTGGTTGAGGAAGTCTCACATGTCAAAGAACCTCGAACCACTGATCCAGGTTCATCTGTTCCAGATCCGAATCCATCAACTCCCGTGACTCCTCATGGCCCTTCCACATCAGACAAAGGCAAGGCACCAGTTGTAGAAGCTGCTGAAGATGATGAAGAAACTGAAGAGGAGGATCTCGACCAATATCAGCTTTCTCGGAGGACACCTGGATCCACTTAGATCATCATTTAGGACATTTGCATTTTGTTTGTCTCTTTTAGGTGTTTGTGGAATTCAACAATGAATATGTTATGTAATGGATATTCTAAGTTTCTTTTGGTGTGTTTTGATGGATGTTCTAAGTACTGTGGTGTAATATAATGGATATTCTTGTTTATGTTTAAGTCATCTGATGTTTAAGTACTGGTGGTCTAAGTATCTTGATGGATGTTATTGGTGATGTTTAAGTACTGGTGATGTTTGTCTATTCTGTTTGTGTGAATGGAATGAATTGTTTTTGGTTTGCATTTGTGGATAAGATGTATTTGTGTATAAGATGGATGTTTTTGGTTTGCCCTTTTGTGATGACAAAAAGGGGGAGAGATCTGATTGATGATTGATATGTTGGATTTGATGATGTTGGATATGTTGAATTGATTGATGGTTTAATTAAAATTGGATTTTGATGATGGATTGAACTGGTAATATGTTGGTTGTAAGTTGCTTAATTGTCATGTTTTTGGAACTCGGTTGGGCAGCCTAGTGAGGGGGAGGTTTTCAAATTTTTTATGATTCACTAAGAAAGGGGGAGTTCTAGTCTATTTAGAAAGGGGGAGTTTTCATTGCAATCAATCAAAATTCATTTCAAACTTTTGTTTTGTCATCATCAAAAAATGGGAGAATGTTATTCTTGATTTTGATGATCACAAAAGTTTGTTTATACAGACCAAGAAAGTGAACACCTTGATCAGGTCTGTTGGAACAAAGAAAGCATATGTTCGTTTATCTCCTGACTACGTTGCTTTGGATGTGGCAAACAAGATTGGAATAATATGAATGAATTTAGTCATTGTTTTGTTTCGATCAAAGATATTGTCTTTTAAGTATGTCTAGTTTGTCATTCTTGGTACTTTGAAATATTTGTCTAACTTTTTTCAAATACAAGTGTTTTTTGTCCATCCAAGAATCAGGTTCAAATATGTCATGAAATGTAAAACAACCAAAATGAGAAGCAAAAACAGGACAATCAGGTCGGACGGCCGAAAGGAAACTGTCGGACGTCCGAAAAGATAAAGAACATCAGGAAGAAAGCACCGTCGGACGCTCACATGGAAGCATCGGACGTCCGGAAGGATCGGACGCTTGCCATCGGACGCTCATCAACCGCATCGGACGTCCGAAAAATTCCAAGATAACTTGCTAGCTCTCGGCCCAAGGTCGGACGCTGTGCTGTCGGACGACAAAAAACTTATCGGACGTCCGAACCTCAACTTGGCTATCATCGGACGATTGGTTCGGACGATGATTCGATCGTCGGACGTCCGACAGCCCCAACGGCTAGTTGACTCTTCAGCTGCCTTCTATCCGTTGGAAGCATTGATGAATCCCATTTCTGGATCCCTTTAAAATCAAACTGGTGTGAACCAAGTAAAAGACTTTTGTACACTTTGTTTACAAGTTCTCAAGAGATATTTTAGCTAGAAAATAGTCTCCAAAGCAGATTTGTATTAAAGTGGTGTGAATTTCTGTTGAGCATTTCTTTTGTGGTTGAAAGGATCTTTAGTGTAGCTTTGTTGAGGGTTTTCTGAGTGATTGTAAAACTTCTTAGCTTGACTAAATGAGGCTTAGGGCAAGGAGGAAGTGCTCCCTCCATTGTACATCTAGTTGATCTTCTTTCATCAAAGAGAAGTTGCTCTTCCTAGTGTTTGGTCTTCAAGTTTGAGGATAGCTTGGTAGACACCTGGTTTGATTCCCTATTTTACTTTTCTGTTTAATAAAATTCTCATTGCTTTTCTATACTTATTTTTCTGATCAATATTGCTCCTGTCTTCTAATCTACTTGGTTAATCATTACTAGAAAAGAAGGTAAATTTTTATTAAAGAAAAAGTGCATAAATTTGGTTAGAATTTTAATCAACCCAATTCACCCCCCTCTTGGTTGTCTTTGGGACTTACAAGTCTTAAAATAATTATTTTTATGTTTAAGTACTCAAGTATTAGTTAGTAATACTATCGTTACAAGAATTTCTTAGAAATTTCGCTCCATCGAGCACAAATCGAAAATACGCGTTTTTGCGCGCGCGATTAATCGAGGGACTTTAGACCTTTATTTTTAGACTATTAAGAGTGAATAATAATAGCATCAGTGAAAGTGTATTAGAGGTTTAGTGCACAAGTGAAACAAACCCGAGAGGAAAAGCGCGCATGCGCGCACTATTCTTAGTTGACTTTTGGGGAAATTTGGACCACAAATTCTTAAGCTTCCAAGAGAAGCTTTTCATCAGCCACAACTCTCTCTTTCTCTCCCTCAAGCTGCCGTCCAACCCCAAGGAGAAGAAGGCCAAGTTTCTTCATCATTTCACCTCTCAATCTTGAACCAAATCCTCTCAAATTCATACCACAACTAGTAAATAACTTGGAGATCATCTTGGGTTAGGAGAAAAGCTTCATTCTCACGGTTTTCTTGGAGCTTAAAGGGCCAAAAATTTCTGGTTTAAGATCATCTAGGAGGTAATGAAGATCCAACCCTTAAATCTTAGCTTTTGTAAGTTAAATTGCACTTGGGAGTTTATAGCTTCATGTGAGTACCTCTATATTGTTGGAAATCATGTGAGTGGACTCTATGAAATCCCACAATAGACTTGATGAACTGATGTGATGATATTGGGTGTTGTTTATGTTGATTTAGTGACTAAACTAGTGATTATAAGTTGAAAGGTGGAAAGAAAACTCAAAGGAAACAAAAGGAAAGAAGGGGCCGGTTCTGCCCTGCCTTTTCCGCGCCTCTTGGTGCAAATTTTTGTGGTCCAATTGACTTGATTTTGATGTATATATGTTGTATAGGTTGTGTGGAAAGTTTCCATCAAAAATCACTTGATTTGGTTGGGTAAATGTTTGGATTTTGAAAATTTTTCGTGGCTGGAAACGTGTCCAGAGTTGCTCTGGCAGCGAATTTCAAACGGCTATAACTCTTTGCTCTGATGTCGAAATCAAGTGCCGTTTGTGGCATTAGAAACTAGACACTTCTAATTTTCTAACAGTATAAAACATATCCCATGATTCCACTTCATTGAACCGTACCAGCCTTTCAAAGTCACCTTCCCTGTTTCTCGGCTGTGTTAGAAAACCTGTTATGAGCTGCAACTTTTTGCCTGAAAATGAGCTAGTTATGGCCAGAATTTCAAAATAATTTCTTCTGAGAAATTGTAGCCTTATGAATGTAGTTTCCAATGCCATCAACAATGCTTAATTCCAAGTTGAATTGAGTGAGTTGTGGCTAAATTACGAAACTGTCTCAGTAATGGAAAACCCTCTTTTTGGCTAGTTGAATGCCTTAATTTGAATTGGGACTAGTTATTTTGAAATTCTTGGTGTGAACCACCTACCAAAAGTATCTTGGATGTTTATTAGACCTTGTCTTCATAAATGAACCATGTTTGAGGTGGTTTCATTGACCTAAAAGTTAGAAAAGGTAAAACGAAGTACAAGGCAGATTTGCCTTGGAAATTGTTGGAACTTTAGTGGCTTTGTTAACTGACTTTCCGTACGAATTTTTATATGAAATTTGACAGAGGAATAGACCTTATATGGTAGGGTAATGCTACCAAATTTGGTGCCATTCCAAGTCCATTTCGATGCTCAGCCAAAGTCTTAAAGTTCATGTTTTAAATCTGGAAAACCCTTGTCCAGTGAGAAATTTCAGCAATTTTGAGCTGCTATATCTTAGTGCTCAAAACTCTAATTCTTGTTCTACTTATTGTGTTTTAAACTTTGATTGTAACTCTAATTGAGTTTCAAATTTCAAAAGCTAGTTCACATTCCGTGAATTTTGTCGAATTTTCAAAATTAGCCAAAAACCAACCTTGAAACTGTCTTGGTATTCCAAAACAGCAACTTGAAGCCGAAATTTAAATGTCTTCCATTTGGAATCATGGAAAAGTGCCTTCTAGGAACTTTTAGTACTTTGGAAGTAGTTTACCAAGTTTTTCGATTTTGGACATTCGGAGAGTGAGTTATGATTTTTCAAAGATTGCTTGTTAAATCTGAAATTTCTGAACTTAAAGGAAATTGAGTTTTTAGAACTCGCCATTTTTCCTTCGATATTACCTGGCCGTTTACACTTGATTTCAAAGATGAAAATCAGATTTTTCTTTTATTTTTAAAACCCCACTTTCGAGCCTTGATTTGCGAGTAATTAAGGCTCATTTTCATGATTTTTCTTAGATTGTACAAGAGTGCAATCTTCCTCGATAATTAGCTTACATTCTAACACTTTGGAGAAAACCAATTATAGGTTGCCTACTATTGCCAGTTATGCAAATTAAAACAAAACCTTAGTTGACTAGTAAGTAACCAGATACACACCACACCATTTTCTTCAAAGGTATCAGCTTTAAATGTCAAAGAATGCAAGTAAGAGAAGAAACTAATTCAAATTCATTCTATCAGAATTAAATTTCATTACTGGGAAAATTAACTACCTCTTTCTTCCTCTGAGGTGGTGCCATTATGTGTCCAAAACGGGCATGAGCCAATTGATTTTCAGCTTGCTCCAGCTTTTCAGCTGCATGAAATTAGGTAAGCTGGTTGATGTACTCAGAAGGAAACATGATCTATTCAATAATGTTTGGAGTAACATTTGTAGACAACCAACAGAAATATCTAAGCATAAAATACCTAAATCTGAGATTTGTCCAGCTACATAATCCCATTCCCGAGCAAGGAGAAGAAGAGAGCGTGTTGACCCAATACTTGTTCCATAGTAGATCCAAGAGATGGCAATCAGGGAGGATTTAAAGTATGTGATATCTAATGCATAATACTGCATATCCAAACAAGAACACATCAAGCATATGATGAGGAACAAACGGCTAAAATTTTTTGAAAGAGCAAGGAAAAAACAGGATGTCAAAAAAGCAATAGTCTATCACTAACCTGTTTACAATGTACACCAAAGTCTTCAATTTTGTTCAAGGGGATGGTTTGATACTCAGAAACAGGCTCATCTGGAGGCTTATATCCTTCTGGGTAGGTCCTGAATGCACCGATTTCCACTTTTCCAGCAGACACTGTCCTTGTAGGATCAATAACGACTGCCAAGAAAGGCTCCTGATATTGCTGGTTAAGCATTTGTGTCGAAACATAATACCAGAAAGCCAGCATCCATAACCAGGATGGGAATGATACCACCCAACAACATTCTCCAGTCTGCCAGCCTAAAGGAAAAAAAAAAAAACAATCAATATCTATGTTGTAATAGTCTTAACCATGAAAGCAATAAGAAAGTTAAATCTTCAAAGCATATGCCACAATGTTCAGAGTTTCCGCTAAGATATAAAAGCCCCAACCAACAGAGGGCCATAAGTAGGGTTTTGAGGAAAAAACTATGAAATAAAATGTATTCATTAAGAATACTAGAAACTGAGACAAGGGAAGGATACAATTGATCTTTAAAAAACAAGCCAGGAAATTTGACTGGTAATGGTAAGATAGATCCAACCAATAAAAACATCCATTAACATGTAAAGCAGAATGAAAAAGTTACTTTTGTTTTGGAGTGTGATCAACTCAGTCATGAAAAGCTTTGACGACAAAGCTTAAACATTTTAATCAACTTAACCAAGACTATCAGACTCCTTTCGAGTGCAATATGTGAAATTACTTACGCTGCTCATTCCTTAACTTCACACTAGCTAATCAAAAGCAGAGCCTTAACATGTGAACAATTTGACTTTATGACTCAAAGATGGTGACTGGATCAGGTTAAAAGAACACCACCACCACGATTTGGATAGGCACTCATGAGATATCAGCACACCCAAGCAAGAAAGCAACTTTTTTTTTTTTTGCCTTGGATGACAACTTAAATCAGCCATAGAATTTTTTTTTTTAAAGAAAAAAAGAAGAACAAGAAAAGTAATGCACCAAGGTAAATTCAATAACACAAAAAAAATAAATGGCATCACCAACTTTTAGATAGCATTCTTTTATTTTATCTATTCTCACTACAAACATCACCGAGAAAAATTAAAAAGCTCTTAAAAAAATGTTAGCACAAACATTCCAATGAAAGTGTAACTTCTTTCCTACTTTTCTCACAGATAGATAGGACAAACAGTTAACTCTTCCATGCATATAGTTCCAGAAACTGTCAAAGAAATCACCAATTATGTATGTAGCCCATGATCTCGCCCATTTATTCCAATACAGATTAAAAGATACAGTCCCAGCACACAGATGAAAACACACATCACTAGGGTATTAGGAAAACCACATAATTGTTGTACACTACGCTTCCTGAGCTGTACATTACAATTAGCACAAAAAAAGTACTAACTTTCATTAACAAAAAAGGAAAGAAACCCAAAAAAAAAAGCGGCAGTACCTGCTTGTTGGTCTGCGAATAATCGACCATGTACTCATAGGCATCGGCCTGGGCATTGACACGAGTTTCTGTGCCCTCAACGGGGAGGGCAAAAGCGTCCATAACAATAATAGCGTCGCCGTCGGTCTTGCCCTGCATAAGTCCCATGACCTCAATAGTGCCGCCGGAGCGTGCGTGGACAACCATTTTGAGAAGGGCAAGAACAGAGATCTTCACCCGCTTAAAGTAGTGAGGGTCGTGAACCCACGGCCTCTCCTGCTGAAACTTGGCCTGTGCAGCCTCGTCGTAGTAGAAAATCACGTCCGACGAGGGGTCAGAGGCGGTTGACGAGGGTGGTGACGACGATGTCGACGTCGCTGCTTCTAGGGGTGCCGCCTCCATCGAGACGATGTTGTTCTCGAGCTCCCACGTTTGCCGAGCAATGGAGGATGATGAATAGGAAGAATCCATAGTGGCAATTAATTCAGGGAATTGGGGGGATGGGTAGCGAGCAGAACCCTTTTATCTCTATTTAGTGAGCTGAAACGGTAAAACCCTCTATAGTGAATAGTCGGGTCGGGGCAAACCTCTCCCCCACGTACAAAGGCCTAGGTTTGCGTTTTCTTCGTTGAGGGGTAATATGAGGGCTCTCTCTCGTCGAAAGTGTTTGGATAGTTAAATTTTTTATTATTTTGATTATATCATAAATATATTTTTAATTTATTTTTTATAATAATTTTTTAAATAATATATCAAATAATATTTTATCCAAACAGTTAGGTTGTAAATGGAACCAAACAACTTGATATTAGATTTAAAATCAATTCAAACTAGGTTCAAACTTGATATTCATTCAAACTTATTTGTTTAGATATCAATCCAAGCCTGGACATATTTTCAAATTTAAAAATATTAACGAACCAATCACGATCTTCATGTCATCGGACTCAATATGTTCAGGAACATGTAAAGCAAATAAATTTCATAAAAATATACTTATAGTTTTCTTCCTTAACTCCACTCTTTCCTTCTCATATATTGCTTATCTTATAAAATAGCATGCATATAATACTCTTTCTCTTGAATATGCATAATTAATTTTAATTACATCTCTAATTCATCATAATAGATTTTTTGAATAGGCATAATTGATTTTAATCACACCCCTAGTTCATCATAATAGATTTCTTGAATATCATAAAGCAAAAATTAAGGAAAAAAGCCACAAATTAGGGTGAAAATCTATGTGTTTGATCTCAATACTTTGACAAACCAACCAAAATTTTTTGTTAACATACATCTGAAATTTCAAACCAAATTCCATCAATTTGTCTTTCAAAAAATAAGCAAATACAATCCAAATTCAAACATTCCTTTTAATCTTCAAACTAATCCTGAGGATACTTCTATTCGGCTCGTTGAGTTTTGTTTTCAGCCCTACAACTAGCACTCTTAAGGTTCTAAAGATATCACTTACCTCCGTTATTTATCTTAAATGTGCAACAAAATTTTGAAAAATCCTAAACTATCCTTTGCTCATTTTGATAAATAAAAATATTCTCAAGACACTTTGTTTACTTTAATAAGAAAAATCACCACCTTAATAATGATCACTAGTAGTATCACTACACCACCAAGTAATAGTCCATAAAAATATAAAAAAGATATTTGTAAAGAAATATATTGGCACCAATTTAACTCTATATATGTTCCAAAATTTATATCTTATGAACCTTATATTTTTTTCCAACTTCTTCTCAGCCCATGGCTCAACTCTTTAATTGTACTAATCATTATAAAAATCAACTCAAAATAAACAAAGAAATTACACCCAATTCTATCACAATCACAAAAAATAAAAGATAAAAAAATTCAATTACTATAATTTACAAATGAAATATTAGGTAGTCATTTGAAAAAAAAAGAGTAAGAGAGAATATTAGAGAAAAAGGAAAGAGAAGAAAGTGATTTTTATTTTCTTTTTTTTAATATGTTTGAAGTTCATTTATTTGATATGTGGATTACTCCTTCCGTTTTATTGAAAGTGTAATACTTTTCTTTTTTGGTTGTCCCAAAATATTTGTCATATTTGGCGTTTCTAACGATTTTATACTCTGAAATTTCCCTTATACACTTCATGAATGATGTACAAAAACAAATGTGATAGGATTACTTTCTACTCTTTACTTTGACTACCACATGATTAAGTTCAAAAATGAAATAAAAGGAAAAAATTTTTTGTGGAGTGCACTATGCATAGAAAGCACATATTCCAAATATGACTAAATATATGGGACGGAGGGAGTATATATTAAGTGGGGGTAAATATAATTTTTTGTAATTAATAGGGGAAGTAAGTAATATTTTTAAAACTTTAAAAGTGCTAAGTGATATTAGAAGAAAACTCAAGGAAGGTTTTTGACATTATCCCTTTGCTTGTAAACTTTGGTGGGTTGGGATGGGACGGATCCGTTGGTATTCTGATTTACGTATTTGATTGGAAACAATCAAAAGGTTTTTCATTGTGTGCCCTTGAACTTGCCTAGTTTCTATTTTGATTTCTGAATTTTAAATTTAAACACTTTATACCTTAAAACTATTGCTATAATTATCCCATCTCAGTGCAACTTTTTTTTAACATAATCTATAAAAACTAATGGGATAGTAAGAATATAAGCATCATATTCCTTTAGCTTATTATTGTATTTAAACTAAACCCAATCTGTATCTAAACTACACCCAATCTGCTTCATTTTTGGAGTAGAAACAACTAATCCATTTTTCTTAACTACTTTTAAAAATATACTTAAATGTTTGAAATGTTGTTCTATTGATTCTGAAAATATTAATACATCATCTATGTATACTATACTGAATGAACTATAAGAATTGAAAATATCATTCATTATATTTTGAAATTTTGATGGTGCATTTTTTAATCCAAATGGCATAACTTTCCATTCATAATGCCCGAAAGGTGTTGTAAATGCTGTTTATATCTATCTTTTGGATCTATTATTATTTGCCAATATCCGGATTTCATATCAAATTTTGAAAATATCTTGGCATTAAATAATCTATTGAGTAAATCTTTTTTATTAGGAATGGGATATCTAATCCATTGCAATACTTTATTTAAAGGTTTATAATTTATTACTAATCTTGGAACTCCTCTTTCTTTTTCAGCTTGATTCATTACATAAAATGCAGCACAACTCCAAGGTGATTTTGAAGGAGTTATTAGTCCTTTATCTATTAATATTTTTATTTCCTTTTTACAAAATTCTAATAACTCAGAATTCATTTGTATTGGTCTAGCTTTTGTTGGAATATTTTTCTCATTAAAATCTTTTTCATAAGATAATTCTATCATATGTTGTTTTCTATCCCAAAAAGCATTAGGATTATCTGCACAAATTTCTTTTTGAAATAATTCTTCTAGTTCTAATATTCTTTTTGTATTTTAATATCATTTAATTGTTCTTCAATTTTTAAATAAGATTTTTCTTCTTTAATATAGCTTATTTGCTGTTGTACTCTAGTAATAGTATTTATTGTTTTATATATTGAAGATGTTTGTAATGTTTGTAATTCCCTTTGTCTTATTGGAGTTAAGAATTTAAAAGTAATAATTTTTCCCATTATATTTACTAAAAATGGATATATTTGAATTAAAAAGGGTGTTCCTAGTATTACATCATGATTTATATTATTTACAATTATGAAATTGTGTCTAATACAATATTCATTATTACATATTGATCCTTTTGTAAATTTATATTTTACTTCTAAATCTTCTCCATTTGCGGCCATTAGTTTTTCTTTTGTTCTTTCACAATATTTAGTGGGGATTATTCCTTCTTTAATACAACTTGTATCAGCTCCACTGTCTATTAGAGCTACAAAGGTTTCTTTGAAATCTTCTACTGTGATAGTTACTAAGGCAAACCATTTTTGAAAAGTCATTTTTTCTATAGTATTTACATATTGGTCTTCTTTTACTGGGTTTTTTGCTATTGATATTTCGTCTGTTTTGGTATTAGAGGTTGAAGGTTGATTATTATTTATTAATGTTAGTTTGGCTTCTATTTCTAAGTCTTTTGTTTTTAAATCTATAATTTCTTGTTGTAATTGTTTTACTTGTATTTTAAGATTATTAATTTCTGATTGAAGATCTTTAGTAGTTTCTTTCTTCATTACATTTATATTTGGATATTTATCTATTAATTTTGAAATGCTAAAAGGTTCTATTATCTTTGGCATTTTATCTTCTTGAATAATTAAGCTTTTTAGTCTTTCCAAATATTCTTTTTTAGCTATTGGATCGTCAATCTTTTCTTATTATCTAATAAAAATTCTTTGTCTTCTTTTTTAGTTATAACATTTATATATTTTGGATTACAATTACAATTTTCTTCACTATCTGAACTGGAAATATCATCATAATAATCTTCTTCAAAACTTTGATCCTTTTCATTTATTAGTAGATTTATTAATTTATTTTTAACTTCTTCATTATCTACACAGATTTCTGAAATTTTTTCTTTTAATCTACATTTGTTTGATTTATGTCCTATTTTTCCACATTTGTAACAAACAATTTTCTTTTTAATGAATCTTTTCTTTTTAATTGGTTCATTTTCTTTGGGGTTTTTATATCTAGTTTTCTTAGAATATTTTTTATTTTCTTTTTATAGGCTGATGGTGATTTAATTCTTTTGATTCCAAAGGCATCACAAAATGAGCCTACTTCTTTTGTTTTAGATCCATATTTTATTTGTAATCTTAATTCTGAACATAGTATTAATCCTTCTTTTTTCACAAAAGCAAATAATTGTCCAAAAGTAATGTTTTCAAATGAAATTACATCTGTTCCTTTTCCTTTTGTAAACTATCCATTATTCTTTGTGAAAATAAATTTGATAATCCTGTTATGAATCTTTCTTTTCAGAATGAAGCATTGCAATCGGGTCTTCTTAATACATTTGTTAAGAACATATCTTTATACCATCTAAAATCTGATAAAGTTGGACATCTTAGATTTGTTAAAAATGTTTTATTAGAATTTAATTCTTCTTTTGGATTTCCTATAAAATACATGACTATTGTTACAATTAGAAATTCTGCAGCATCTGATTGTATTTGAATATTTCCTTGATCATCTTCTATTTCTTGAGTATGATCTAATATTGATAATTTATCTTGTAATGTTAAAGCATTATCCCACCAATTTTTTAATTGTCCAGTAAATCCTGAAACTAATAATGTTGCAATATTTCTTTCTTGAATATTTTTAATTTTGTAAGCTAATCTTGCCATTCCCATTTCTTGCAAATTATTTAATACTTCATATTCAGCTTTGCTATCTATATTCCATTCATATATTGAATCTCCATCATATTTAGTAGTTCTAAATTTTGATCTTTCTTCATATTGAATATCTGGAGGACTTGGTTTAGGATAATAATTTTTTGAACTTATCATTTTCCAATTATTTCTGTTGTTATTATAATTTTTTCTTTTTATTCTATTTATTTGATTTCCTTCTGTTTCTTCAAATT